TATTCGCCACCGGAATCTCGCACACCTGATAGAGTGAGTAACACCATGTGATATTTTCTGCACCCTCAGCGCAGAGAGGAGAGCGAGGGGATTAAAGCAAAGGAGGTCAGAAAAGTGTGAAGTCTAAACAAAGACACATTTTACTGTACTCTGCTCACGCTGTACAGTCTGCTGCGCTCTGGCCTCTGAGTGAACCCGCACTGGGCAGACAGGTACTCGATGGAGGCGATTTATCCCGGAGCTTTCTACGTGAAAGCCATAAGCTCTGGCCCCGTCGTCTTGCATCACAGGTCCACTTCTTCATCACGCTCTTTGATCTGTCCCCTGCGTAAACCCTGTCCTGCTGGGCCTCAGTTCCACTCTGGAAAGTATTTAATTTGCTCCACATTTTAATCAAGCTGTGTCAATCTCTCGCTCCCCCCAGCAGACTCCATTCTTATCAGCCTCTTGGAATAATAGCTTCCTCTTCTGCCATATTTCCCTCCACACAGGAGGATGTTATATCCATTTTCTTATTTATTTATTTATTCAGGGTCCTGCGTGACAAAACGGCCAGGATTAGCAGAGCTGTCTGCGCGGCTAAGGCCACTCCGAATGCCGAAGCGACAGCTCTGTGGGCACCCTTCCACGCCAAGCACCACCTTGTTCCTTTGTTTCATCCTTGGGCACACAGCGCATTGGGAGGAAGAGGGGGGGAGTGAGGGATCAGGGTGGCAGGAATAAAACTGCCCGCTCTCTCTGATGTGTGTTGATGGGCCATGGCTCCACTGGGAGGAGCGGAGGGAGACGTTTCAATGGGGAAAAAACAAGGATAAATGGCGTCTGGATCAGCTCATACGGCTGTACAAGACGTCAAGTTTATTAGTAGGTGATCGTAAACGGTGGTGTGTGGGAGGGGGGTCACATTTTCCAAATCTTTTAATGGATCCGATGTGTTCTGACAGCTTTTTCTTTCTTTATCCAAACGTGTGTGCGCCTGCATCTGCCAATGCAGGAAAGTCGCATGAGATGCTCAAGGCTATAGGGGTTATGTAGGTCACGGCGAATCCTCCTTCTGACTGAAACACGCCATGCATAATTCAAGTCCTGCGGTGGGGGCAGGGGTCTTGGGGCTTGGACTCGGCTTGGAGTTTGAGAAGCATTGGGGGGCAGGGGGGCTCTGCTTTCAATAATAGATGGGATCATAAAGGAGGGAGAACTGATGAAAGCGCAGAAAATATGGAAGAGGTGTATCTATAGCCACCCACTACACAAAAAGGTTCAGGGGAGGCGCCGCCACGCACATCAGGAGCGGATCGGACAGGCCGTGTAAGGGAGGAAAGATGGGGGGGGTTGCAATTAAAATCAGTGAGGAGAAATGTCTGAGTGTTGACTCCTTCACTGTGGGTCACGAAGCATGATCCCCCGGGTGAAGAATCCCAGATGTGACAGCGTTTTGGCCGGCACTGGATCCCTGTGACTGTAGGGATAAACCTCAACAGGGTTTGTGTACAAGCACCATCAAAACAACAGGCGTCTCAAGGGCTTCGTCAAGATCTGAAGCTGTTGTGTTTCGTCAGCAGCTCAGTGGGGAAGTCGGGATAAGATTCAGCAAAGAGAGGCGTTTAATCTGGGAAATCAATGGTTCTAAATGTGTCATATTTTTACAATAAAATAGGAATCAGACATTATTTTCTATCCGATTTGATTAAAATTTCAACATTTATTTAAAACAGGATCCTGTTTGGACAGAAAGTAAAACACAGGGACAAAAAAAACCAAAAACACTGGGAGCTCCATGGAAACGGCTTTACTGTTTAACATCATGATCAAATTACAGCCCAATTCGACGAGGGCAGAGACCATGACTGTACCAGCTGCATTTACATATGGAGCCAATAAGACGATGCGCGCTGCAGCGTTCAGGGTTACCTCTTGGTCAGCCTCCATGGAGGTCG